TCTCGGTCAGAAAATGAGATTCATGCAATGAAAAAGTTGCATAGAAATGGAAAGAGCGGTAGAAACGGACTCTTGTGCTCATATGTCGAGATGAAATGGGCTTGATGAATAAGGGGTATTCTATACATTGCTACTTCACTTGGTGTCTTTTCGGGGTTCTTCAAAGGACATGATTTTGTTTTTAATATTGAAATAACGGCAGGGTCAAGGTAAACCTTCGCTTGTGTTTTTCCTTCTTTTGAAGGGGTGTTTTTGCTAGTGAGCAACGCTTCTTTATCTGCTATCCTATCGCTAGTTCGTGCGCATCGTCTAGACCAAAGACTGGGCTGGGAAACTATCTAAGTTTTCAGCAGTTTAGCTACAAAAGGTACAAGACGTATCAGATTATAATAAATAAGTGAAGTAGTTGGCCAGATCTGTGTCAAAAATGTGTTTGTGTCTAGTGTTTCTTTCTTCAGAGTCGGGAGGAGAGAATTGCGCGAGGAGATGAGATGTATATACAATATGTTATACGATTATTACGGGCTCGAAGGTTATGCAGGGATTCAATGTGAGTACCCTCTTTTACATATTCTTATTGCTACTGTTTTCATAATGTGAGATTTTTCAGAGAGAAGCGATACAAAGTGGGACCTGCTGCTAATAGTTGTAAACTAAGGATCCCATCTGAAGCAGAAAGCTTGTTGGCAGACATAGAAGACAAGTTGGTTAATACATAACATGTTTTTTCTTCCTTAGGTATTATTGTCTAATTCGAAAGGAAGATGTATAAAGTTAATGAAGTCCGTTCCGTTCAAAGAGTTTTTTTTTCTTTTTAGGGTAACAGAAGATATAGTGAAGGCGCAAGAACAAGGATCTCAACACCGGTCAGTGACACCCCGAACACGCTCCAGTGGTGAGTGTTCAGAATTACTCTCAGACACTGCACTATGGAACCCAAGTCCCTTGACAGTTTTCCTACCTAGGAATCGTCGTGAATGTTGTGTTTTGCATGCAGAAACAATATTTTGGATTAAATATTACAGATCGGTCGCAGGCATCTCCATCCGGGAGACTATCTCCAATAGAAGTTAAGGTGGATGATGAGGTTTGTCCATTTGCGATCTTCCTTTTATACGGTAGCCCTGATCCAAAATTTTTTTCATGCACATATTGGTAGAGTGATTGTGAAAATACCTTCCATTTTATGCATTTCATATTTCCATCTTCCCTTTCCTTTGAAGCGAATCTAATTCATTAATTGCTCAAATTTTGCAGTCGGCAACACCGTCGGCTCCCACGAATTCTCTCTTATCTGTGAACAGAGCAGATTTTGGCGCTGAATTCTCATTACAACAGGTAGGTATTTCGAGTCCGGTTGTTCTATCCGTTCTATAAGATTCATAACTGACTGATGGCTAACTTTCCATCTAGTAACGGCACCGAGCAGCTATCTGGTTCCTTGTTCGTCTTTGTGCTCACTGGAACAGTAAATCTCCATCTCTAGTTGATGAACCGCGTTGTCATCCTTCAACCTCGAATTTGGTGGCCCATCGTAAAAAAAAAAAACGTTGCGATTTTATTGCTATGGCTTCTTGGATCAGGGAAAAAGTTTTATTTTCGAAACATGTAGTGGTGAGATATAAGCAGAGCAATGCACCTTGCATTCTTATTCTATGGTCCACTGCAGCTGGACCAGAATCGCGCCATGTTTTGGTTGCGGAATCATTTCTGCATTTTTTCTTTCATTTTGCGGCGCGCGTAACACGGCGAGGTGTCTGCCGTGCTCCCTTATACGGCCTTCCGGGCTCCGCGCGTTCCCCTGCACCCGACGCTCCACTTCCCCATGCCGCAGCGAGACACCATCGATGAGATTCTTTAGGGAATACTTCTGTCTAGGCGAAATTCCAAGAAGACCCCGTTGTCGTAATCAGAGAAAGCTTATGCGATAAAATGCAAAAGAAAAGATGAAAAACCTAATCAATTGTTCTCCCGAAATGGCGACAGCCAAAGGTCATGGGCTCCAAAGGTGTTAAACAAATAGGGGTGGGTATTCAGATTCTGCCTTGCAGCATAACAGCAATCCTCCCCTTGCTGGTCCATTGTTATCCCACGGAAGTTATCACGCCGTCTTATATGCGTTTGGTGTGCTAAATTTTTGGAATCAATTCACCTTTAAATTGCTATGTATGTCAGGAAGCACAAGTAATAATGCGAATCGCTGAGTTGAAACGAAGTGGTTTATGGAGTGGCAGCCGTCTTCCGTTGTGTGTCGACCCTCCTCGAAATAAAACGCACTGGGATTACGTTCTCGAAGAAGTGAAATGGATGGCTACAGATTTCCGTATGGAACGGCAGTTCAAACGCGCACAGTTGCACGAAAGGTATTGTTTGATTGCTCAAAAAATAGGATTGTTTAGTGCCTAATTACTTCTCTCTTGTTTATTCTATTCATTGATTGCTGTATTTCAAATGAATCCTAGGTGCTCAAAATCTTTCTTTTAGATTGCTTCAGCCATTCAGAAAAAGCGGAGAGACGATGAGCTTGAACAAGAGCGAGCTCAACAACGAGCTATAAGGGTGAGAAATGGTTGTGGTTTTTGTTGGTTGACTCGAAGTTTAGAAAGAAATGTTATATCAATTAGGATGGTAAGCGAGTCTGCGCTTCAATTGTAAAAATGGTTCGCGAATTTTGGATGAATGTGGACAAGGTCGTGGAACATCGAGCGCAGGTGATTTTGAATCTGAGGTAATCGGTATTTGTTCTGTATGCTGATAACTATTTTCAGGAAATTCTGGAAGCCAAGAAACGAAAAGCGCTCGATGCTCA